ATGTAAGGAGCATAAATTATGCAATCTATTAAATAAACTACAATAAATAGTATTTTAATAATTTTAAAAAATTGCCAAGAAGTAAGACTTTTAGCAATAATAATTATTTGAATCAACGAAAGTATTGGTATAATCCATAATAATATAATTAGAGCGGGAAGCACCTTTCCCACATTTATATCTCCTATACTAACTACACCACTATAAGCCAATGCAAGAGTAAGGTACGTAAAAAAAATACAATAGCTGTTTACTCTTATAGCATCTTCGTTTTCATCTAATAAAGAAAATAATTCTGCACAGAAAAATATTATCGACAAAGCAAAAGCAAAACCCAAAATTATATTTATAGAAAATGATTTGGATGTATAAGAACCGAATTCTTTAACTTCAAAATATATCCAGAGAGCAAAATAAAGTAGAAAGGATATTATTTTCAATACACTTATAACTACGGATGCTTCTTCTTCTTGAGCCATTTTCGTTTATCTTTGAATTTTTAAGTACAATATGAAGGTTTTAATAATTTATAGAAATTTATATATTATCACAATATTTGTAACGACATAGGATAAATTAATTTATTTGCCGATTATTTATGCTAAAATTTTTTGTTTATATTCTATGTAGGGTTATGCAGTTATAGCTCGTTTATGTGCATATTATTTTATAAATATTTGTTATTATCCAACCAATAGATGAGTCCGGAGTACTACTTTTAGAATGTAACGTTCCACCAATAAAAAAATGTTATTCGTTGCTTTACGAAATATCAACGTCCATTAAGTCCATTTAGTAAAAGAATTAGGAAAAGATAAGACTCCCAGAGAACTTCATTTAGAAGACAAAATCATTCGCTTTTTATTAGACCATACAAAATCTATAACTATATACTTTACATAAAATAAGATGGTCGCCATATTTACTAAATCTACAATAATCGACGCTGATTCTCTAATCGATCATATCTACTATTTTTCATAATTTTTGTTATGCCTTCTATAAAAGCAATAAAAATTTTTTCATTTAACCAGCTGCCAAAGTTTCAATTTCAGTTGCGCCGGCTTCTCCTTTTAATAATTTTAGCAATTTAGGTAACAAGGAGTAAATTTTTTTTCGTTAATAATATTAAAATTTAAAAAAAAAATTTTTTTATCTGCAGCCTATACGTAGTTATTCTGCACTTGTTATTTCGCACTACAGCACTAAAAGTAGTACGTATAACCTTCATTATCAATACTTTCATTACGTATTAGTACTTTCATTATCAGTTAAATATGGAAAAACATTATCTCAAATCTCCATTTTCAAATCTCCATTTTCAAATCTCCATTTTTGGGTCAAAAAACTTTTAAATTAGATTACATTCGTATTATCATAAGGTACAGTGGCAATTATATGTTTTAAAAGTTTCGAATTTTTTTAAAAAATTATTCTTTTAATAGGGTAGAATTTATTGTTTAATATATTTTTGATATGTAAAAAAAAAATGTAAAAGTAATCTTTGAACGACTTTTATTAATGGAAAAGTTTTGAAGAAAAGTATCTCGCTGATTTATTCATCAAATGGTAATTTACTTGATTAATTCATTCAATTTCCGGACTAATTAAAATTTTATTTAATCCCGCAGCCTTTGTCTTATTCTTTCTTTATTAATCACGCATATAATTTCTACAAAGTAACAAGTCATAATAATTATAACTAAGCCATCAATAATAGCATAAACTTTTCCCAATAAAAAATAAGTATTTGTAAAAAAAACACCAAAATAAAGCATTGCACATGTTATGGGAATAATAATATCAATACCATGATTCTCAATCCTACTTTCTTCCCCCTTCCTTTTGAACACATAACTCGTATCATATGCTAAATTAATGACTCCAATAATAAAAGAAATTAAAAGGTTTTTAAAGTAACCAGCACCATTAAGAGAATTGTAATATGCGAATTTAATAAATTGAATAATATAAAATGTCAAATAGATTCCAATAAAAACTGCCTTTACTAATTTAAAAAAAATGCAATTGATATTCTCTTGCATAAATGCAATATTTTGAATTAATGTGAGCGCCGATATAACCCATAATGACGCAGTCATTATATAATATAAATCCCAAATTGGCTTACTACTAATAGTCAAAATAGTTAAAGCTAG